GTTGCTTCTTCACGCCTCTTTTAAAGGATCCCAGGTTGTAAGAGGGAGGGAACACGTGAGCGGGCAGAGTATTCCATTTACGGATAGTACGGCAAAGAAATGAGTCACCAAATTTCTTTGTACGCGTTGGAATTGCTCTATTGATATCGTAAAGTATCAGCATCAAAATCTTACTTAAAAAAATATTGTTATCAATGAATGCAGCCAGAAAGAAAAAGAAGAACCGCAAATTAGGGCTTTCAGATCCAAATTTTAATCCACATTATTTTGGTTAATATAAAAGTATTAATCATTAGATAATAATATATATTGAACACTTTAGACTAAACACACAAGGTGTAAAAAAATGTTATATATTTGTAACCAATATGGTATTCAGTACGGAAGAGTTAAGGAAGAACGAGAGTTCCTTCCACAGGCAAATACTTGTATACTAGTGGTTCTCTAATATTGTATCACTGGAATAATATTTGTAAAAGATTTTTTTAATTCAACGACAAGTAACAAAAAAGGATTTTTTAGGAAGTTTTTTTAGGAGCATCAACAGTGTGCTTGGATGACATCGGATAAATTTACGGAAACAGTGGTACACTTCTAAAAGTTTAAGTAACTGGAAGCTTTTCTCAAGCCTTATTTCCGCTTGTCAATAAGGCTTGATAAAAGCTGCCAGTTACAGGAAGTAAATACACAGTCCGATTCAGTTGTAACTTCTTCTATTTTCCAAAAAGTGTCAGTGACAAAAATGCAAGTAATTTTATTTAATCTTCTTTCATTGTTTGTGATTCGGGTAGGCTGTTGTTAATTGCAAAAATACTTACATCGCAGCGACTTTAATCTCTCATCAAGGTATTAAAATACTTTGTTGCCATTATCATGTTTGTGTTAAAAAAAAACCCGCCATTTTTAGCTGGCTAATTTGCGTGAGGACGTTGCCAAGACTCATTAGTAGGCTCGTATAGTTAATAAACGACGGTTATTCAGACGTTCCGTGAATATTAATGTCGAGGCGAAACTGGGCCTTAACTGACAACGGCCGGCCTAAATATTCTATGGTCTGGAATGTCAGAGTTGAACTTTATCCGAAATTAACTTAGTCGTCCTAGTAAGTACTAGATTCCTGCATCATGTATGAATTCTTCGATTTATTTTCATGATAATCGAATTTTCTTCGAAGGATTAACTGGTGAGGTAGGAGTAAGAAAAATATTAAAGAATTAATGAAGTAGCAATGTTTGGAAAATGAAATGATGTCTAGCAATCTAATGACAGGTAGGATTAAGAAATTTTTCGATTTGGGAAAAAGTGCTTTCAAACAAGATTAAAGGATCAAATGCTGATGGAGACCGGGGATCAAATAAAAACGTAGAAATTAATGAAAACTTATATTGACCTAAAATATTCGATATAAAAATAACATATAACTATTGGAAAATAGAAACTGGTGATTAGCTTATTACCTATAAACTATTATCAATAAATAATATTTATAACAATTAACTGCCGAACTTAGTAGAACTCGTTCTATGGCAACTAAATAACGAATATAACAAACAAATAAGTAGGTATATTTACAACCATTATTCAGGAGCAAATATTGGTTGAACTTACCCATAACACATATTATAAATACCCAGGTAATTTCAGAAAACTTGTGTGCACACAGAATGATTGTATTTAGGCGAACATAGTCAATTCAATATTTTAAATAAATGTTCTCCTTTTTGTCTATTTATATTTTTTATAAAGTATCTATATTATTATCTATTGTAATTTCATATAAACGTTAATATTCAAAAACATGTGGATTAAATTTTGGATCTGAAAACCCTAATTTGCGGTTCTTCCGCGCATTTGCAGCCAAGGACACAAAAGAGTTGGTAGGTAGATGCGCGCAACGGAAGAAGAGCCCGGATGTCAATGCGTATTACTGTACTTAGCACAGACAGGCGTACAATTTTACAACTCTTAATAAAACTGTTATTTGTTAATAGTTGGTAACCTCAAATACTTACCTACGTAGCTTCACGAAACGGATTTTTTTACATTATCTGCCCTGGCTTATGTGTATATGGACGAGTGCTAACGACTGCAGATGCAGCCGGGATCTACGATTTAACGTGCTTTCCGAAGCACGAATCAATGGGAGATCAAAATTTTTGCTCATCCGATGATTATTTATTACGAAAATTAATTTTGATTGCACGATAGCAGACTAAATTCGCTAAATAAAATAGGCCATCGAATTCCTCAAGTGGGTACGTTAAGACGAAGAAAATAAATACTAAAAGAAACGGCACATATGGTGCATTTGTGCCGGCTGGGTCAAAATTGCTGTCCAAAAATAATATGTGATAGGCTGTCTAGCTTACTAAAGTATCATGTTTGGTGATAAGTTTTACATTTTAGCACTCATTACCGGAAAATATCATAATGTACACTGAGGTAAGATGTGATAATGTATGAATAATCTGCAAAACTGCGTACATTCATGTTATATAACTTTACCTAGGACAGTAATGAACATTTCCATATTTTATAGTCATACGCACCGGACGGGCGTAATGGCCCTTTCTCCCGAGTAACCCCAAAGGCCTGTGTGCCCCAGCAGTGGGAACATTAGTGGACTGATGTAAATTTGTTTATTTTTATCCTGAACAATAACCATGAGGCGCATGCGTCGATTGTCATGCTGATCGATATCGATACAACGTCACTGATACCGATTATCGATTGAGCACACTGTTCACGTTCGCCAAATTGATATTTGGATATAATTTTAAACACAACAAATTTGAATCATTTTGCTAGAAGCAAGAAAAACCTTTCGCATGTTTAGTATAAAGATTCACATCGGGGAAACAGCGGTTGCAAGGTTACAACCTCGAATATGTATGAAAACAATATTGTTTAACAGAGCACGAGAGGGTGTTATTTGACAGGGTTTATAAATAAGTTTCTGGTCTCCATCCCTAACCTTGAGATGCTGATTAACTTAGAAAAAAATATACTTAAATTTCTGTGTATTTAATAAATTGCTATTGAAGTTTTCTTCTACGAAATAATAGTACATTTTTATCCGTTAGAATTAAAGTCTTAAACATTATCCTGTCGTGTCCAATTTATAGGCGTATAATCCGCAAGCTTTATATAAAAACAACGAATAACAAAATATATTCAAGTACAGAATTAATTAAAATAAATAAGACTCTTATTCGAGATGGATAGAATGCTAGTAGGTATACTGGTGTTACGTGAAATTTCACATGCCGCATACTTTCACTATAAAATCAAGCTAAAAACTAACAACAACACTGGACGTTTACACATCATGCACAACAGAGCGTTATTTAGCATGCAAAATAAATTCATCTACAAAAACATTACTAAAATAAAAATAGATTAACTACACTCTTGGTATCATTCAATATAAATAAACGCTATATCTGTTGAACTACGCATTCAATAGGGATGATGACTATTTTTTTTTCTTCGTTTATCAGGTAGACTATCAAAACGTATTGGACACGTTTTTTTCACATAATAAATATAAACACTGCAGAGATATATTGATTTGAAAAGTCGCATGACGTCACGTTTTGGTACAATTTTCACTTAAAAGTGACGTCACGAGCCCCTACTCCCAAACTTTAATGCGCTATAACTGTCATTTTTTGGTTGATTGCCCAAAGAAAAAATACGTGCCAATTATTTTTTGATCATCTTACTGACGGGCTAAGTAGAATTTCGTTTACTGTTCCCCGTCATCACCCCTATTCTAATTAGTAATAGCTGACAACTAATGAATTAGTATTAAAAAAATGTTGGAATAAAAAAACTGCTTACAGTGATTCAAAAAAGTTCATCTGATCTATGGGGTTGGTACTGGACGGTGGGGAAACAAAATAGAAAAAAAGAAACAAATTAGAACACAGCAAATAAATTAATTAAATAAAGGAAAAAAGGCAAAAGGTATCTATCACTTTATGTAAAGCCCGACACCTCTTATTTAAAAAAAATGGAAATCCTACTTTGAAAAGCTAAGCGCAAAATAATAATAATAAAAAAAAAGTTTACCCTAGATACGATTTTACACAGATAACTCTATAATAGACTAATATTTTTCTCATTAATGCACCTAAATATTTTTTTTTTCAAAACACATATTCATGTGTGAATATATTCAAGACGTCGTACTATAGTTTATCTAGTCCGATAAAAAAAATATTAATGAGTCTCTAATATTTCTAAGAATTTCGAGTAATTTTGTTGCGATAGGTACGACCATAAATTAACAATATTTCTTTAACGAATTAAATTAATTGGTGCGTTGGTGTAAACGCTTATTCTCAATTTATTGGCATCATTTTTTAATTAATTTAAAATTTAATGCTACAATTAATATGCCGACTTTAAGGTAAAACAGTACTCTATGAATCATAACAGGTGCAGCTTAAATTGATATCAGAAAAAATATAATCGTAAAAGATTTTGAAGCTTCCCTTTGTTACAAATTTATCTATAATCTACCCATATCAAACATTGAAACTGTATGTGTATATTTTCGCGTAGGCCATAATTCAAATATGTATGTATAAAACAATTTTGGCGCTATCTTTGGCCATTTTGGTTATATACTACACTTTTACTCTAATCAGAAAAAAGTTTATTTTTTCAATAACGCGTGTTATTACTTTTTTTATACCTAAACAAACATTTAAGTACTACAACTTTATTGCATTTCAATTTCTACCCATAATTAATTATTCCTTATTTAAAAAAAAAATATTTTTCATTTCATAACTATCGTAAAAACCGTTATGAATGATATATGTACCTATACAAACTTAAAATTTTATTGCATTTAATTTTTGTGAAAACTATATAACCTCTTTGGAATAGTACATTTTGCAACTTTAAATGGCTCTACCTACAATATACCTAAACTCTTTAGAATGATAAAATCATTTTTGCAACATCAATAAAAAGGTTTTGATATCAACCTGCGCGCGGCCCAGAAGAACCCAGCCGAGTCCAGCGGCTCCAGCAAGCGCGGCGTGGAGGAACCAAAGGCGAAGGCTGGTCGAGGCGCCGAGCGTGCTAGCCTCGCTCGCTCGAGTCGCTCGGTGCGGTCCTTCTCGCGCTGCAGTAGCGCCTCCCGTCGGGATATTGACGCTTCCCATATCGCTCGCTTGCGCTCCTCCACCTAAATGTTAAAGACAATTTATAGAAGTCATACTTGCATTTCCACTTATTGCTACACCCTCGATGATACGGGGCGAGTTTGCAAGCTATAAGCCAGCAAGTTCGCTAGCAGCATGTAAACTCGCTCCGTGTCATCGGCTTTTTTACAATCTGCTACTCGATGACACGGGACCTTACAAACTGTTAGCGAACTCGCTGACTTATAAGGCGCTTTGCAGACGACGGGGCGGGGCGGGCTTTTTGTCCGCGAAGCAATAAAATACCGCGTTTGCCCGTCGATGTCTGCGGCTTCCCTCGCCGCGTACACAAAGCACACGACGGGCAGAGGCAGTCAGTTCAGGACGTTCGTTCTAGTGAATAGTCCATCACTAAAAAGCACGTGGCGCGGACTGAGCTAGCCGCCCCGCGCCGCCGTCTGCGTTACTGCATATAAACTGGTTTGTATGATCCACGGCGGGCAGCCGCGGACATGCCGCCTCGCCAGTGTCCGCCGGGCACCTGCGGCGCGGTCTTTTGCTCTCTGTGTGCGTTTGTAGTATAGGATTCACTTTGTGCTATCGTTCGCGGCGAAATTGACCGGTCCGCTCCGCCCCGCCGTCTGCAAAGCGCCTAAACTCGCTCCGTGTCATTGTTTACACGTGTCACGCTTTACTATTACTTCGATACCCACGAGAATAAAGTTGTTGACTTATATATTTGTTGAGGAGCTCGATGGCGCAAGTGGTTAGCACGTTCGGCTGCGATCGTTGAAGTTAAGTCACTTTTGCAGTGGTCGGTCATTGGATGGGTGACCAAAAATTTATTATCACGAGCTTCGGAAGGCCGTTAAGGCGTTGTTCCCAGCTGCATCTGCAGTCTTTAGCACCCACCAATTCGCACTGGGCCCGCGTGGTCATGGCCCAATTTCCCCATTTCATCCATAGCGAAGGCCTGTGCCCCAGCAGTGGGGACATTAATAAGTTGATGATGATGATGATATTTGTCGCACTTTGTCGCAAGTGCGGGTCGGCAAGGTGGCAGATAATAACTGCTGCACTGGCGTCTTCGCGTCTGGACTTTATTACCACCTAACACCAGGCGTGGTGGAGTCATTAGCCTATCTAGTTGTAAACAAAAATTCTATTTGAATAAGGAGACAAAGAAGAACTAGCTTATGGGTAGGTATAGGAGACTGGACAGTGCAATTTGCGGAAGTAACCTTCAAGTTACAGACCAAGATGACTTATGATGATGAGAACATACGCACAGATATATTACATTTTCATAATGTTCATCAAAGCTGACTTCAGAGCAACTGCACCTTATTAGCCAGTATGAGTAATGGTTCATAGAGAGCGCAAGCAGGTGTCAGAATGTGTCATTCACTACATACATCAAAGGGGTAATATTGTAGAAATAATACCATTTAGGTACTGTTGTTGAGATATGCTTATAGAACTGCAATATACATTATTCATTTTCTTTTGTATTCTCTTAAGGGTTTCGTACCTCAAAAGCAAAAAATGGAACCTTTATAGGATTACTTTGTTGTCCGTCTGTCTGTCCATCTGCTTCAGAGGTCGCTATTGGACAATGAGTATATTGTCTACGGTCCCATGAAGCTGTAAAAAAATCTAACTTCACTAAATTAACGCAATAAAGATACGAGCGTTTATCTGTCTGTCTGTCAAGACCCTTTAGCTCGGGAACGCGTAGGGGTATCAAGTTCAAATTTAAAGCATATATTCAGGTCTACAGTCGCTTTAAGGTGTGAAAACATCAAACTTCTAGGCTAACGTAATAAAGAGATCCGACCATTTATGTTGCGTACCTAAAAATTTGCACGGAACCCTCGGTGGACGAATCCGGCTCGCACTTGGCCGGCTTTTTTTTTCGTCATCCGGAGGATATGGATTGAAACTCTATTTAGGTATTTAGGGTAAGTAATGTTTTATAACATACATTTTTACCAAGATTTTAATAAATCTGTATACTTTTCGAGAACAATATAGAAAATTTCTGTTTTAACTTGAATCAGAATTAAGCTTCGAGATATTTTCAAATTAAGTGAACTTATCTAATAATCTCTTTGCCTTTAGAGATTTTAAAATAAACACAAAAAAAAAACACAAGAGAATATAAGTAAAGAAACTTACAAAAGTAACCTGTGTATTCATTCCAAACACGCACAACACAACACAATTGTATCACATAGCGATTCACAATCTACTGGCGAAGGCTAGGAGGATGTCTGATTAATTTCTTTATCTAGACGATGTGACTGCAACATGATTCAAAGAAAACAACGTTATTCCTAAGTAACATATCAGGGGCGGAGTCACTGATATACAAAACAATTCTGACAAATTTACGTAGAATCAATCAACAGGCGATTCACACAGTCTGTATTGACAAATAGACTGACGATAGAAAATTGAAGATATATTTTAACGAGTGATACATAAATAACCTTCACCGATATTAACAATTAAGATACAATACAATAAGGACTGCGAGCAAAGCACTTAATCTGACGAACATACAAGCAGTGATTGATGAATGTTGAAGGAAATAGTGGCAAGACGATTCATGGCAAGTGAAAATTCTTTCTCTCACTACAATAACCATCAACTATTTCTACAATATCGTTGGTAATCAGAAGCACGTAAAGGTTTTTTTTTTAAATAACATCAATAATACGTTAACACTAGCTATAGAGAAACTGCAGTAAATATCATCTCAACATTCATCCATGTAGGACAGAACCAAAAACGGTAGTAAAGTCAAAGGCCATTAATCCGCGCTCTTGTAGAAACTGACGATAGACTACCAACACGTTTATTGTTTTTGCAGCAGAACTTAAACGTTCATTGATGTTCAATGACTCATTAAGCCTATAATAGAATGCGTAAAATGTTGTATGTTTATCTAGGTTTTGCAAAAATCCTGTATCTCATTGGAAACCAACACTACTGTTTTTGCGGAACAACTTTAACTTAATTAACGCCAAATGTCTCATTTAAGTTTAGCATCGAATGCGTAAGCTGTTGTACATTTATCTTGCTTACATTTGCAATAATCCTGAATTTAATTGCAAGACTTTAAAACTCAATCACCTTCACCCTAAAATCTATGAACCGAAAACATAGTGCATTATAAGAGGTAATTCACCCCAAACCGCACCGTCTAGACGGTGAACTAACTGCTTCATGTTAACCATTAAAATTTATACCTACGGCCGACAGTATGTTGTTTTTGTTATCTACAAAGTTATATATTGAAGCACAATATTAAATATTGGATAAAGCGTGCGATGTATTATTTTCATTATCTCGATTATCTGATAAGATCATAGAACATTTACAAAGGCGAGTACTGAAAAATGTATTTTTGTTGTTGTATTATTTTTATTTGATTTTTTCAAAATAATGACTCGAAAAGTTATAGTTTATTCAGCAGTAGTCACCTTATGAAACGATTTGATTTTAATGTGCCTTAAACAAAAAATATAGATAAATAGAAGCTTATTAGTTATTACTTCTGTTCCAATCATAATATATTACATATCATAAATATTATTTATCTTCATCAACTTTTATTACGTGCGAAATCACTTGTTATTAAAATAGATACGAATAGATAACGTTATGATGACATTTTCATTGCCATCCGCTTAATTTTTGATCATTTATCGACACCGCTAGACAAGTAAAGTAATACGCATCCACTGCAGTATTTCTGTATCTTAGTAAGCAAAGAACACTGGTATTCAGAACGTGCAATCTATAAAATAGCTCAGCCGATCTAATAATAGTGACTAGGTCAACCATACAAATCACTTATCCTAGATTTCATTCAACTTTAAACAAACACACAGAAAACAAGATTAAATAAAATACTTATATTTCTTGTTTATCTTATCAACAAAGGATTCGTCAAAGATTACCGCATGAGATTTTTTAAATGAAACAATCAGCTCAGTGAAGAATTCCTGGTAGTGAAAGGAATAAGTACTGCGAAGTGCGAGTTGATGAAATCGAGCATTCCTACTACCACTTTACTTATATACTCAACATTTGAAAGAGCAGAACATGTATTGATAAGATTCTTATTCCATAAATCAAATACTAATTATACGCGTGACGTTTCCTAAACACCCCGCCGGTGTCGACAGACACAAGTCGTGTTAATCCCAAGGCTAGAGCCGGCCAATGTCAGATGGACATTGGATATTTTTGCGAATTTTCCGGACGGGTCTGCGAATAGAGCGGGAATAGAAGAGCATTTTAATATTAAACGAAATTAAACAAATCAAATGTTTATGTTTATACATATTGATGGAAATGGATTGAATAAATAACTTCTGTAGTTGAAAATGTTGTGATTCGTGTTCTTCCTAATGAAGATTTAAACGATGAGTAAATAAAGATGACATTCATGATTATCTTTGGGCATTAAAGAATTTATATGATGCATATTTCTCCGCAGTTTCGTACGACACTACAAATCGCTTTGCTTGGGCTTGAAAATTAATTGATATAATGTGTACTTTTATTAGAAAACTGTTACTTTTGATATTGCCGGCATGGCATTGTTTTTTGTGAACATCGTTTTATTTTGATAATTCACATATCTTTATTTAAATAAAAAGGTAGATTTTCGGAGAAAACCCTTTAAAACCTACGAAAAACCAGAGTTACTCTATATAGCTATCCAGACACCAACTTATTCTAATATCGCTGTCGCCGCTTCCTCAGCAGCCGCATCTTTAGTAATACAAAAAATGTAATGAAGCCAACTGTGTCAATGCCAAATATTTTCACTTTTCAGCGCAACTTTTTTTTTGACCTAAATAAAATTATAATTTCTTAAACTGGAAAATTTAGTTTCAGAATATTTTCAGACAAATAAATAAAGAGTGACTGGAATAATACCTGATGTGGATGATGATATCACATGGATTTAAAGAAATCAACACAACATTTCATTTCCACTTTAATACGAATATTTATGAAATAATTTCATTTGTTGCCTTGCATTGCATCCGTTTGCCAATAACAGAACAGATACGAAAAAGCGACAACGCTCCAAACTAAATATATTCACAATACTGACACGTTTTCTCAAGATCCACTTTCATTTATTTAAATATGTTTTATGGTGACTTTTTAATTAAATACTAAATCAATAAACCTTGAAATGTATAATTAATGTTAATAAAAATGCATTGTGCACTTCATAACATTTACATACTAAACTTGGGTAACTATTAAATGAAATACAAACAGAAAAAAAATATATATGCCTTCCCCAGAATAAGCTTTATGCACCTAAATCAATCGCCGGCTTACCAGACAGAATATAAAAGTTAAGAGACAAAGTACACAAAGATGAGGTGAGATGAGACTGACGGAATTCTTTCCATTCTCTCTATTATCGAAATTCTAGCCGAAATTAACCATTAAACGCTGTAAATAAAGACTGGGATATAAAACGAACGAGACATCAAGTATTATATTTTTATGGACACAAAAACGGCTTACAAAATTGCCTACTGAATAGCTTTGAATATATTCATATACTTACAAAATCCTTTGCTGGCATAAGTATTCCGAATGGAGCACAAATTCAAATCACCAAAGAATATCACAAAATAATGAGACGATAAAGATTTTTCAAGAATAATAGCATATAAAAGGAAAGAGTTCAACAATCGTATAAATCTAGATCAATCTGACACACAAGCAGCTCTGTTTGAGTATATCACCCATCTGTTTGATCAAACTATAATACCGTACGAATAGTCCTGGAGGAAGTGGCGCACGTTATTTTTGTCGCGACTCCTTACAACGTAGCGGGAGTTAATTTTAAATATTTTTGATGCACTACAACGGTGAGTATTTCTGTATAAGTCATTATACCGGTACGAATGAATGCCCGGAGCATTAAGTCTTCGAGTCGGGTGGGAGAGCGCGGTTCCGTGTTCGAAATGTACGCACGGGTTTCACTAAAGCGTTTGACTGCGTCATTCACATTTATATGCATGACAGTAGTATGCAGAACTGTTTCCGAGATGTAAGATCTAAATCGCTGTAGGAAATCCACAACGGAACGATTTAAGTGCTTCAGACACGAAAATTTAATGCCGAAATAACATTCGGTGCGCAAACGAAAACGAAAGTTGGCAATTAAGTTGTACGTAATACAAGTGAGAAATTGTGGTTTGATGCCAAACTGCCAACTTTAAGGTTATTCGAGAGAGCCTGTAATAGACTAAATGCAGCCTCCTCTTTGTTAGCGGCTAATAGCTGCCTTGACCTAAAAACCTTGTGAGCAATTTGTAGTCCATAATTGTTAACGTTACTTCTGTACCTAAGACAGTTAATAATAAATGTTTAAATATTTATTAATATAAAATGAAGAAAATATGGGCATTCATAATTACTAAAGTTTTTTGAAGTAATAATATTGAATAATAGAAGAATGAAAGTTTTTGAATGATTGAAATTATCATTATAAATAAGTTCATTGATGATGTATGTTCTATATAGTGCACTTATTGTATGTAATTCAATAAACTAGTTAATAAAAATCAATAAACTAATAGGAGACACACCAATAAATTCATACATACGTTAAAAGCACGTATAATTCCAGAAACACTGATCAATCATTTGCGCACACGCACTGGCGAATCACACTACGCGTGACCTCATAATTGACAATAGATTATGTAACTGGCCGCGACCAGGTCACCTGGCACAATAACACACGTCCAAGCATCATTGAATTATTCTAAATGGGTTTGTCGAGCAGACAGACAAACAAGATAACGATGTGGAATAAAACACGGAAGTAAAATTAATATCATCTTGACATAGTTTTAAGGCCCGAAATTATCTTAAATAGGGCATCTGATCAACCACCTCTTCAACTGAATACAGAATTATGAAACGACAAGATAGAAAAGTGCTAAATTTCTTTCTAGGTATTACAGCTATCTGATTTTTATCCGAGTGCAAAGTTTTGCACTCAGATAAAAATTGCACATACTCCAACGTTATCTCCAGGCGTTTAATTAGCACTTATATATCGGTTGAAGCTTTAGTTAACGATAACACGTTAGTCGGATCGGTCGGTGCGACCATTACAATAGATAAGCAAGCGAGAACCGGTGACATCACCCGGGCAAGGACGCGTTATACAACAACTACGTCACTCGCATTGGAATCGAGAAATGGTGTTTAGCGATGCCACTTCACGATCACGAAATTGCTGGGCAAGAAACAAAGAATGATGCGATATTAGGAATATTAGCAGATGCTCGTGCAAAAGAGTTTAATTCTTTGGCTAATACAGTCAACTTTTTCAGATTATGTAGCAATACATTTTTGTAATACCTACCTCTTTTCCTATCTGCTCAAAATTTTAGGTTTAATAACAATTGTAATTTGAACACATTAATGTCTTTTTTATATTTGAAGGTAAATCAACCCAATAACTGTTGATGAATCGTAAACAGCAAGTTCAAAATATTAATTAAAAATCATATATTCCCGATAAATTTAAATAGAAATAAACTTTTCTTTACATGAAAACGAGATCATGTTCAATTGGATACATTGCGATATAAACCGAAATGGTAACTAACGAAGAACGATAGAGGCGTAAAACTGTTAATTAGTTTAAACGTAATCGAGAAGGTCTAATTGATCCTGCAGACGATAGCGTAACATGCAATTTCAAAAGAAGTATTAAAACCGAGAGAAAGGCAATTAACAAATCGAGAGCAATGCACAAATACGTTTTAGAATTTAAACATAAAATCATAATCATATCAAAATAAATGTTAAAATTCATGAGATTTGTAAATTTATAGGCTTTTGGATAGCGCACCTCTAAACAAACCGCCATGATGTAATTCTCATTCAGTGACGAGGAGTTAAAATTGTGAAACCTTGCTTACAATTATATGAGCCTCATTAAGCTTACCACTACTTTCTGTGGCCATATTTTGTACAGTACTCCGCTGGTGGGAATTCACTATAACGTTTTACAGAAATGATTGTAGGCTGCCGCGTACGCTGCACGGGTAAATGAATTTGTCCGCTCCACTTTACATTCTCCCCATTATTAGGGTACGTACTGTACCTTAGTAGGTTCTAGGTTCTACCACTCGAGTTAGTATTTACAGCAAGCAACCAGTCATTATTTTCCGTTCGCGTAGTTTTGTTTTCGCGTTAGCCAATAAGTAATTTCTAATTTTCACAGTCATAACGCCTATTATTTTACCGGAGAGGTGAAAGTGGAGTTGTAAGTGTTGATCGACGTACGTAACGGGTGCCGTCTGAGATGCAGTTTGTATAATCGTAAAGAAAGCTTCAATTTCTACGGTACATTTGATTTTTTCTACATCAACGATGTTGAGTGATTTGCCGAAACCGTTTTACTGTCGAGAATTATGTGATAAAAATAGCTCCAACATTGCTGAAATTGTCTGACATCCAAACTAAATAGTTACTTAAAATAACTATTTCAATACCTATTGCGACTGAAGTAACTTTACGACCCATTCTTTCAATGTGCACTTAAATGGAAAGCAATGTTAGTAGTGAAAATATCACAGGTTTATGAATAGAATACAAGTGTACCATAGAATAGACACAGAAATCACAAATCAATATATATTTATTCAAATTGGATGTATAGTACATCTGTTTTGAATCGTCCAAATATTTTCTTCCCTATCACTCGTATGGACTTGGAGATAATGGACTAAGTCACCCTTGTCCAAATGTACAGTAAAACTGGACAAATAATCGTGAGAGCACTATCGCTTACTCTCTATATTTAGAAAGTTGACAATTATATGCGTCAGTTTATTCTCCACGCCTATGAAGAGTACATACAGAAAATCTGGATTTTTGAAAAAAAAAAATTAATGGCGATTGTGATTGTTAGCAGCGACCGCAACAACTTCAGTTTACCTACATCACCCTAAATTCCTTTAACTGCGCCGTAACTTCCTTTAACTTCATAAACTCCACTTATTACGCACAAATCGGGTTTCATGCGATCGCACACAGCATCGCGCATCATTCGACGTGTCTGGTCTAATCCGGCACTTTCTAGACTGCTGCGGCTTAGAAGTGGCTTTTCCTGGCAGCTGAGGAGGTGCTGGAGGGCGGACACTACCATAAGATCCCGGTAGCATCGAGGTTGAAATTGCCAGTATGAATCCCGCTATATCTATATATATATATAAAACTCAAAGGTGACTGATATAGTGATCTATCAACAGACAGCCCAAACCACTGGACGGATTGGGCTGAAATTTGGCATGCAGGTAGATGTTATGACGTAGGCATCCGCTAAGAAAGGATTTTGATCAAATCTACCCCCAAAGGGATAAAATAGGGAATGAAAGTTTGTATGAAACTTTGTCAATTTTAAACCGTTCGGGCTGAGACTTTGCATGCAGGTATAAGAAAAATCATAGATGAATGTCATTGTGTATAATACAAGCCTGAGAACAAAAAGTGTAGTCTACACTTCAGCTCTACACCGAAGCGAAGCGAGGGCGGGCCGCTAGGTATTATATATATTATAATAGCATTCTACCTGTTGCCTCCTGTCGTCATCCTTAGCGCGCTGCTCCGCCTGGCGCCGGCGCCGCTCCTCGTCACGTTTCTCGCGCTGCGCCTGCGCGGCGGCCGCGTGCGCTCTGAGCTCATCCAGCCGCTTCCTTTGCTCGGCCTCCCGTCGCTCTCGTGCTAATCTCGCTCGGTCTATGGCATCTGCTTGCGCTGAAAAAGAGAAATTTGTGAGATCATATGTAACAAATGTTAGATGTGGAAAACTTATGGTAAACTGACTTCTGATTGATTGACATTGATCAAAAGCACTGGGAATATGAGATGCAAATTCTTGTTGCATCTATTATTATCATTGCCTTATTTTAGGTCCCCACTACTGGGGCATAGGCCTTATCAGGGATGGGATAGGGGAACGATCTGTTTCATTATCATCAGCCTATTAATGTCACTGCTGGGGCCCAGACCTTCCTTGTGGATGGAATAGGGAGATTGGGCCACGACCCACCACGCGGGCCCAGTGCGGATTTGTGTGTGCTAACGACTGCAGATGCAGCCGGGAGAAACGGCTTCATGTGCCTTTCGAAACACGAAGAAGCTCGAGATAGTAAATTTTTGGTCACCCATCCAACAGTGCGAAAGTTACTTAACTTCAACGATCGCAGCCGAACGCGCTTACCACTTGAGCCATCGAGCTCTTTAATGATCTGATTGGTGGGTGCTGACGACTGAATTGAGAATTCTGTACAACAAAACAGAAAAACTATTCCTAATGGGTATCGCCATTTGTCTAATGCGCAAGATTTCATGATTGCATAAATCCACTTAGACTTAACCATACCTATAAAATTCAATTAATCGTAACAAGTCCAAACTGTAATGAACATGTATGCAAATCCCGCTACTTTAACATACCTACACGTAATGTACAAAAAATATATTCAATTGCAGTCGGTCTCGGTCGTAAAATTACAAGTTACAAGTATGGTAATTCGAAACGTGTTGACAATCAATTTCGAGAATTCAAACAAGTGTCAGGTTTTGGTTCAGAGTACTATCAAATTACTGTTTTGTCTTTGTGTGACTCATGCAAAGACTAGACTATTTATAGTAGCAGATCTTTTCCAAATAAAACAACCGGCCATGCATTCACGTAATGATTAAAATCGTAAATGTTTTCAGGCGTGTTCGATGCAATCCAGTGAAATATGTAAGTAATTGTAGTTTCCAAGTAATCTTCCAAATAGCTTTAAATTTTTATATACTGACTAGCCGACCCGGCGAATTTCGTACCGCCATAAAAATAGGGGTTGGTGGTAGAAGAGTCAAAATTTAGTGTTGCATGTATTTCTTAATTCCAAATTATAAAAAAATATATAAAAAAATGTAATAATAATAAAAAAAAACTTATCCCTTATAACTTAGGGGTATGAAAAATAGATAGTAGCCGATTCTGGACCTACTGAATGTGCATATAAAAATCGGTCAAGCCGTTTCGCAGGAGTATGGTAACTAACATTGTGACACGATCATTTTATACATAAGATGTTATCATTGGCTCAGGAAATGAGACCCAAAAGTCGTTAACGTTTAAACTATAAAAAATAAGGCTAAGTTAGAGCCAGTGCCGCAAATTAAAGAAAGTAAATTTATTATTACACCATTTTTGTCAGCTAAGATTTTTTTAATCCAGATCCAGAATCCAGCACGGAAGATTGAAACTTTGGAAAGTTTCAATCTTCCGTGCTGGATTAGGATTAAATAAAAATACACTAACACATTTTTTTTGCTTGAAGTGATAAATAATGTAATATCAGTATTTATTGTAAGGACGAATGAGCAACCTCGCAACTGCATATCCAGTTTAATCCCATGCATGGTGCATTAAGGGTACAGCTCAATAAATTAAATGTATTGAGACATAACACTTCTATCGCCACACCTTGATGAAGTTACGTCACATTTGGCGCACACACACCTCATTTGAAGAGAGGTAAGGGTTAAGCCTCGATGACACGGGGCGAGCTTACAAGCTACAAGCCAGTAGTACGAGAGCCCACGACCAAAACCATGTCTCATAGCAATACGGCAAAAACCCTATAAAATCGTTAGATTGTATGATTCTGAACCCGACTAGGTGTGTAGTAACGGTCGAAAGTGTAGCAACTGCGTGGGAGGCCATTTCTGCTGTGTCAAAAAAAAAAGACAGCCGGTATTATAGCAATACGTCTGATAGTGAAAATGTACATAGATTTTATAATTGTATTACGAAAAAGTTTGTTTTCAGACATTTTGCGCGTAGAAGTATTACATAATAATAAAAAAATAAAAATAAATAATAATAATATTTATTATTTTACTATTACAGTGAGTGTGAGTTCTTGTAAACTCCCGTAACATCGAGTAGCAGATGGTAAAAAAGCCGATAACACGGGGCGAGCTACAAGATGCTAGCAAACTCGCTGGCTTGTAGCTTGTAAACTCGCTGGCTTGTAGCTTGTAAACTCGCTGGCTTGTAGCTTGTAAACTCGCCCCGGTGTCATCGAGGCTTTAACATCGTATTCCCCGCTGGAAATTTAGTGTACGTCGGAAGAAGTAACATCTATCAGACAGAAGACACAGTAAAATAACATTACCTTTTGACGGTGCTGTATTTCTGTAATAATGTTCAAGGACTCCACGCACGAGTAAGGAATGGGATAGGCGTAAGAAATTTGCCAGTAGCACATTAGCATAGCAAGCGTCTGTATGCTATGGTGGCCGTGTACCATCTGGCAGGCCATATGGTTGTTAGCCATACTGTTTTGCATGAAAAATACTTTAAATACAGCTATTTATCAAGTTTGAAAGTTGCTTACCAGATCTAGAAATGAGATCCAAAAAGATTAGATTAGTAAAGCATTCAAGTCACGTTTGGTTAAAATTGATGCATGAAATACAGTAAGACACTAAGATAGTGGTGAGCTTTTTGTATGGAAAAATGTTACATAATTACAAAAGATTCCTGCAAGCAAAGGCATAGAGTAATGAGAATATCAACTATACTTAAGGCTTTGTAAATAGCTCGATTACATGTCAGTTCAGCAGTCAAAATTATTTAGGGTTGGCAATTACAATTTGAAGTAAAATGGGAAAGTATCGTGGAATAACATACAAGAATGAGGCAGAAGATTATTATAACAATGACTTTTTTTTATAAATACCAATTCGAGTAAATTATTCCTCCACACCTAATGTTAAGAATCGGTGACGCGAAGATAGTTAATAAGCCGAAAAAAAAAACATGGGTATTCTGCTCAGTTGACCTTTGAATTTAGGCTAAAATACAATTAATAAAGTAAAATTGTAAAAGTATGGATTTGTAAACAGACAAACATTGTTTCGATCTGAGAACAAAAGAGATGGCGAATAGATGACGGCAGACAAGCAGTATTTTCTGGCTTCAATCCAAAAATCATCAGACCCAAACAAAAAGTAAATGGCGCTTCGCATGTCATTTTTGGCAATCTTCAATGTTTTATTGTCATTCAGTATTATAGCAAGAAGAGTTTCTCCAATTAAGTTAAAGACCAACGCAACGATGCTGATCAAATGTTTTCATCCCACATGTTGTCCAGTATGAATGTAGTCTCAACTTAATTGCAATACAATAGAGAGTACAATATCCCGCACTTGAGATTTACATCTTAAGCATACAAATTTTATTCCAAGGATACAATTTTATTCCAAGTACTAGATACCGAAAAAAGCTACAGATTCGATCAACACGGCGCTTAGCGGTTTAGCTGTGATAAACAAGATACAATAATATGGTGATGTATTCTAGTCTTTAACTAAATGTCAACTCGATGCGACTTCGATGCTGTTCCTACCAAGATACCAGATAATATGGGAAAACATAACGCCTGAATGATGAATAAAATTAGCCAACGAATAAGAAATAATATGGAATACGAACTGCGCTAAAGTGGTTAAACTCAAACTGCGATCAAGTGGGGATGGACGAAAAAAAATGCGATCAACACACCGATTATGGGATTGGTTAGGATTTCCGTTTAACATTATCTCATCCAATAATAAGATAGTCGGAATCATTTGCAGATATTTGATTTGTCAAAGTATTTTCTTTTGTCTGTGTGCATGTCGCGTTAGTATTGAAGTTTAGCTATATGAGTTTAAAACTTTGTTTACGGGCTTTTGTTAGAGTAATGCTTTCATATAATTTCTAATTAGTTACAATTAGAATATAAACGTTCACTTTGTTATTGAAGCATTGTCTGTTATTAGCGACCTACAATTTACTAGATCCTTTAAGCCATCTTGAAGAATCTATTAAATAGTTTGGCTCCGACACCCCTAAACATCGAATAGCGAGGGTCGTAATCGATAGAATCGCTGAATGAATGTATGCAATCGATACAGTGGAGTCGGCCGTGTGTTTAGTAAATAGTGTGCACTCATCGAGATGGAATGTTCACTCGGAAGGTAAGAGCCGAGAGGTTTACCTAGCTTGATAATACCGAGGCCGTGACTGGAATTTTAATGTGCACCAATACAAAGATGCTGTATGCAGGATTTTGTTAATCGATGTTATAAGTATAAAAACATATAGAAGTTTGTGAAAGTGATGCGTCGTTTTTTATGGTGGCCCCTCACTTTCTTCTCTCTCTTCACACTCTTCTTTCTTTATTTTTAGTCCCAACTTACCACTCAAAATAATTTTATTAAACAGAGGTGTCATTCAGGATCACCAGCTTCGATCCCAAATGCCGTAGTTAAAAAATAGTTATGAATTACAAAGGGGACTCTCATCATTCTGCAGCTTAAGCAAATAAAATATCTGATCTCTAACTACTTTTATTGCTATCGTAAAGAAAAACTTGGGAGCATAAAGTTTGATCTTCTTCCATAAGACACAGACTTAAATTTAATAGCGTGCTCGTAGTTTATCGCCGGCTCTTTTTCGGAAATCTTTGACCGCGCCGGTGATCAACCGCTCAGTAGGTAACTAACGCGCGTAAACTCTAGCGCTGACCGTTATTGCGCAGAAGTAAAAATTAAGATGTCTTGAGGGGAAACGAGGTGCGCGGGTGGGCGTGCGTTGCGCCGATTGGCTCTCCAGTCATACCCATGCACAGCTATCCCCTCCGCGTTTTGTTCAGCGCTAGAGTTACGTACCGCGACCTGTACATGAAGTAACGGAGGCCTGGTGA